TCAGCACAGTCCAGGCAAACAATTCAGTAACATATCCACAAGAACGAAAATGAACTTGGACCCTCTACAGCACATCATATACAAAAATTAATTCAAAATAGATTTAAGATCTAAATGTAAGAGCTAAAACTATAAAACTCTGAGCAGAAAACATGGGGATAAATCTTCATGAACTTGAATTAGGCAACAGTTTCTTAGACACGACACAAAAGCAAAAATATCCAAAAAATGGGAAATTAGACTTCATCAAAATTAAAAACTTTTATGCTTCAAATAACACAATAAAAAATGTGAAAAGACAATCCACAGAATCAGAGGAAATATTTGCAAATCATATATATAACCAGATTATGTAAAGAATTCTTACCACACAATAATAATGAGAAATATAATCCAATTAAAAATGGGCAAAGAATTTGAATAGACATCTCTCCAAAGAGGATACACAAATGGTGAATGATCGTGTGAAAAAAAAGAGTCCAACATCATTAGCCAACAGGGAAATGTCAATCAAAGCCACAATAAGATACCACTTTATGCCCATTAGAATGGCTACAATACAGACAGATAACAAAAAGGGTTAGACAGGATGTGGAGAAACTGGAACCCTCATACACTATGGGTGATAATGTAAAGTAGTGCATAGTCCAGCAATTTCCCTAAGTGTATACCCAAGAGAATGAAAACATATGTCCACACAAAAACTTGTACATGAATGTTCAAAACAGAATTATTCATAATAGCCAAAAAGTGGAAACAATCCCAATTTCCAGCAGCTGATGACTGGATAAATAAAATGTGGTATATCCATACAATAGGATATTTTTCAGCAATAAAAGGAAATGAAATACTGATACATGCTACAACATGGATGAATGCTAGAAACATTATGCTAAGTGAAGGAAGCTAAACACAGAAGGCTACACACTGTCAGATTTAACTTCCATGAAGTGTCCAGAATAGGTATATCTACAGAGACAGAAAGTAAATCAGTGGCCATCTAGGGGTGGGGGGTGGGGATAGGGTGGGATGGAGACTGCTAATGGGTGTAAGGTTTATTTTTTTTAACATTTTTTTATTGAGTTATAGTCATTTTACAATGTTGTGTCAAATTCCAGTGTAGAGGTTTCTTTTTTGGGGCGATGAAAATGTTCCAAAATTAGACTGTGACAATAGATGTACAACTCTGTGAATATACTAAAGACTGCAGAATGGTACACTTTAAATGGGTGAATTCTGTGATATGTGAATTATATCTCAATAAAACTGTTAAAATACATAAGGTTACAAAGGAAACCAGTTATATTGAACTAGAGTAATCAAAATTGAAACAAAAATTCTTAACAAATAAAATATATGTGCTTCTTTAATAAGGCATTAAACAAGATCCTAGAATAGAGTCTTAGAGGTCTCCTGCTGCGACACACACTAGATTCAGTTGCTAGATTGCAGGGAGGTCCCAGAGGTCCTAGAGGCAAGATAGAGGCAGCGGTTCTTCACCAACCGGCACAGAGGATGTTCAAGTCCTCTGTTAACAACCGAAGCTGTATCAGTACACATTACAGCAAAGACGGTGGAGGTGGGGGAAAGAGAGAGAGAAAAAGAGAAGAACCTCCTTAAGGCTTTATGGAGGAAGGACTGAATAAGCTGTCGATGCTTGCATTCGTGGGTCATCTTGCTGATATTACAGGTAGAAATTTCTCCTCTTGATAAAAGATAAGGACCAAAAAATATTTCAGTGCACCATTCCAAGTTTTTTTTTCAAATGTAGACTCTAGAAAGCCATCTAACTACAAAAGTAGCAGGGGGAGGGTATAGCTCAGCAGTAGAGTACATGCTTAGCATGCACAAAGTCCTGGGTTCAATCCCCAGTAACTACATGAAAAATACATAAATAAATAAAATAAAGAAACAAACAAACAAAATTGTAGAATAGATAAACAAGATTACACTGTATAGCACAGGGAAATATACACAAAATGTTATGATAAATCACAGAGGAAAAAATGTGACAATGAGTGTGTATATGTCCATGAATGACTGAAAAATTGTGCTGAACACTGGAATTTGACACATTGTAAAATGATTATAAATCTATAAAAAATGTTAAAAAAAAAGAGAAACAAACAAACCAAATTACCTCCCCACAAAAAAAAAAAAGTTTGGGTTAAAATCCTAATTCCTACCTTCTCATCATCTAGGAAGATGCAAAGAAAGCAGGCAACCTGAAATGGGGACCAAAGGGTACACACTTTCAGCTCTCCCAGATCTGAACACTGAGTCCTGTCTGCCCAGTAGCAGGTCTCTCGCCTCGGACTGCCCCTCCCCACCACCAGGAGCCTCCTTCTACAGACTCATCCATCATTTCACACGTAGCTCAACTCCTCTTCCTGTGATAAGAAGGCCTCCAAGTAGAGAAGAAAACTGGATAAGCTAGACCCTGAGGCAGAGCCTTTACAAGGCTCCTGCGTGGGGCTCCTGAGCAATAAGGAGGGAAGTGAGCCATTTGAACAACAACCATTAATTTTTTTATTAAATTTATAATCAAATACTACAAGAGTTTATTCTCTTTCATAAAGAAAAAAACTTAAATATTTACTACATTATCAGTTTAGCAAAAGACAAACAAAGACAGTAAAAATAAAGAAAAACAGTGAAAAGACAAATTCAAGGACAGAATAAATATGGCCTGTGTACATCTCTGCCTGGCCTGGGTGGCTGCTGCCAGAGCACCAGACCCTCAGATTCAGAATCAGCAGCAGTTCAAAATCTCCTCCAGTTTCGATGGGTCCAAGGGGGGTATTTTGGTGACTTCAAAGAAGACCCTGCAAAAGGAAGAGGGGTCTGTTCAAATAGGCTGAGGCAAGCAGGCACCAGGGAATAAGTGGGCTATAGGCCCTTGGTTCCCTATCTTGCTTTGACCCTGGAGCAGAAAGTAAGGTAAAAAGTACCTGAAAATTTCTTTTCCCTTAAGTGAGGTGAGTCTGGCCCTTCCCATGACTAAGCGCAAACCCAATGTCAACTGCACTTGGTACTTACTGGTGGGAATACTTGGAATGGACAGTCTTGAGCGTATTGCAAGAACGCGAAGTCAGCAGGGTGTTCAGCTGCCTGACCAATGGGTGAAGATCAGAGGTCTTGTAGCCACTGTAATACTCCAGGGTAGGAGCCTACAAGAAGCAACATGAACAGTGACTTTTATAACAGGAAGCAGACCCTTCCTGTCTCCAATACGCCAAGTTCTAACTTCTTATCCACAGTGCAGCAGAGAAGACTGTCAAACATTTCAGAGACTCATACAGCACAGACACTGACCAATAATCCTGGGGTACTACCTAGAAGAAAATGTTCCAGCTGCAAGCTAATGGTATGGCTAAATCCATTATCACCAGTTGGATAGTAACCCTGGCCATAGGTATGCATGGGTGCTGAAATCCACCAAAGAATTTAAGGAATAGGACTGACCTTGTAATTTACCCACTCTCAGGTTAATGGCCAGGCAAACCTCAGAACAAACTTGAGGTCCTAACTAAACAGCCAATAGCTATCATTTCATACATTCATTGTCTCACTCAACTTTAAGGATGCCTAGTTTGTGGCAAAAGCAATACAGCAGAGTGTTCAAGAGAGCAAAGGTTCTAGAGGCAAATTTCGTGGGTTCAGATTCCATCTCCACCAACAGCATGGCCTTGAACCAGTTACTTAACCTCTCAGTGCCTTGGTTTCCAAATCTGCCAAATGGGGTTCATTACAGTAATTACCTAATAGGATTAAATGAGTTAATATACACAAAGCACATGGAACAGAGTCTAGCACATACTAAGTAGCCAAACATGGTAGCTAGGATTACTATTATCAAGCCCCGTATAGGATGCTGAGAATACAAAGATGACTAGAGTTCCTGCCCTTGAGGAGTCTGTAGTCTAGTGGGGGAGACAGACATGCACATAGAGAATTAGAAAATGTGTGGGAGGTGCTATGATGGAAGGGAGCATGGGACACTGGAGGAATAGAGCCACAGGATCCACAAATTTGGGCTGGGAGAATCACAGAAAGCTTTGAAGAGGAGGGTACAGCTGCAACAGGTGTTGAAAGCCAAGTGGGAGCTCCACACGTAGAGAAAGGAAGATTTATTATTCTGTGAGGTAGTGGTTTTCTAAAAATGTCTTAAATTACTTTCCCTGAACACTTTTTTTCCCCAAATATCTTACCTGGAATTAGGGGTGGGTGCTAAGAAGCCCATCAGTTTGGCTCCCTTCCCCTTTTACATGGCGCCTGAGATACTTCTGCAGGGATCCTGGGATCTACTGAATACTGTTTGGCAAAGGGTAGGCTCCCGCATGTTGAGGAGGGGAATAACATATTAACATATGGGGGAACGCATCATATCAAGGTGTGTTAAATAAAATTAATAGCCCTATTGTCACTGCCCCAATTGTTCACATCCCAATGCTTCACACTGACTATTATAAAAACCTACTCACTGGTGTTGCCACTTTTGTACACTCTCTCTCATCTAATATACCTTCTATACTGCTATATTAGTATTGTTCCCAAAACAAACAGGAATATGTCACTATCCTGCCTAAAAAAAAACTTGTATTGCCTTAGTATAAAATGGGTCTTTCAGCATGGTAGCAAAGACCTCTCCCAATCTGACCACTCTCTACCATTCTGGTCTCACCTCTCACCATTCCCTATTGATACCTCCCCTGTTCTAGCCATAGCAAATGTCTTATTCTGCCCCAAAGACATCACACTGTTTTCTTACTGCCCTCACATGTTTTTAATTATTGTTCCCTCTGCCTAGAATATCTCCTCTCCCAGGTTCCCACTCATCTTACAAGACCCAGCTCAAAAGTCACCTCCACTGTGAAGCCTTTCTTATCTATAGAAGCAGTGCATATAGCGTAGAGGACTGTGGACTGTTGGGTTCAGATCAGGGCTGATGCTTAGCTGTTACTCACTGGCACTGCCATGCCACATGGTGAAACTGAAATATTTCTATACTGATTGGCAAGTAGGTTGCTATCCTGAGCCTCTCAACTGTACCCCCTCCAGGACCTATCACACTTCCCCAGGATCCAAGGGTCAAAGCCTGGGTCAGCATGGGGTCGCCAGGATCATCGCTCTGGAACTATGGCCACATCCATTCTGATTACAGAGCAGGTGTACAATTTGAACAGTACTCCTAGTTCCCAAAGCCTAGCTCTGCCTCTCATTAGCAAAACACGGAAAGTTACTTCTTATCTGTAAAACAGGGGTAATGTTGATCTCATAGGGTTGTAGTGAAGATTGAGTTAATACACAAAGTGTTTAGATCATTGTCTTAGTGCTCAATAAATGTTATCCATTATTATTGTTTTCTTTTTCATCATCATCACTGCCATTTACTGAGCGCTTTCTTGAGCCAAAGAAATTTCAGTGCCTTGTCCAAGTTGAGACAACTGTTAACAGGGATCCTCCTCGGCACACAGAGGTTTCCCCATCAGTAGTGGTGCTAGAGCCCATCAGGAGGGGCTTAGGAGTGGTTGGGAAAAGGACACTCATCTGCGACCATACTGTTTCTACTTGGATGGCATGTTACGCATCAGTAAAAATTCATAGTTTTCTAAAGTTGCTTTTAGTCACAATTTTTTCTAAAAAATGAGAAAGCATCAAATATGCATTTTACTTGTCTCGGGGAAGGAGGCTGTGGGGGCCTTCCTCCTCAGAGAAGAGCACTATAGTATGCCTCTGAGTCCCCCATTTTACACATGGACAGTTGCTTGCTTTCACTACTCTGTCCTCTGAGTCAGTGCTTTCCAAATCCTGTTCCCACACACTCCCTTGGTAGGGGGAGGGTCAACCTTGCTGAAGCGACTGCAAGGAACAGGGGTGGAATGGGGTCAGGTAAGAACTGGGCCCACCCCACCCCCTGCTGCAACCAGAATGACTTCACATCAGTCTGCTTTGTGACACTGGGCTTTCAGGTCAGTTTTCTTTGCATCAAAGGGTACCGTGATTAAGCAAAATGAAATAAAATACTTCAAACACAAATGAACTTATTTACAAAGCAGAAACAGACTCCCAGACATGGAAAACAAACTTATGGTTACCAGGGGGCAAAGGGGATGGGAAGGGCTAAATTGGGAATTTGAGATTTGCAGATAGTAACTACTTTATATAAAATAGATAAACAACAAGTTTCTACTGTATAGCACAGAAACTATATTCAGTGCCTTGTAGTAACCTGTAATGAAAAAGAATATGAAAACGAATATATGCTTCTATATGTATGACTGAAACATTATGCTGTACACCAGAAATTGACACAACATTGTATACTGACTATACCTTAATAAAAATAAAATAAAATAAAATAAAAATAAAAATAACTTCAAGACCATTGCTATAGAAACCCTTTAGGCAGCCAGGCCCCTACGATGTCAAGATGTTAAAGAATGCAAGTCTGCTGCAGTTTTGTCACAGAGTTTCCCACGGCCCTAATTTAAACCTTCCCCCTCAGCTGACCCTGGGCTTTTAAATCCCTCTCCTTTCTCCCACATCTCCCCCCACCCTCCAACCCCTGCCCACAAGTGTTTACCCAGTGTCCGAGTTTCTCCATGTAGAGGGCCAGCAGGAAGGAGCCAGCAGCTAGCTTGGAAGCCCTCTCCTCAATATAGTCGTATTCCTGCAGGGTCATCTCACAGATGAAGCGGGACAAGGTCAGTGTCTTCATGCTGGCATGGACACACTACAGGCAGGAAAGAGACTGGCTCAGCAATCAATCTAGAACTCTGGCAAGAGCAGAAGAGCCCCTGCACGCACCCTCTCCATTATCTCCCCTCAGGCCTAAAGGGCTTTCTGCCTGAACCATGTACCTCTTCTGCGAATAGAAGTCACACTAAGGCCCCAGCCCCCAAAGCACAGAATCTTTAGGAGGGAGGATTCTGCAATTGGCAATGGTATTTTGCCACCTTTAGGGTTTTAAAGCAATTTATCAAGCGTGCTTGTCGTACCTTCCCACCTCCCTTTTCTGTACATGTCATCCTTTGAAGAGCCAAAGCCCTCCAACTGTAACTTTGCACCTGGCTCCAGACTAGGAGGTATTCCATTCTCCAAAAGAACTCTTTCCCTTTTGTGGTTTGAATCTTTGAAAAATACATATAACCTATAATAAGACACACTTGCTGAATACAAAGAATAATTTATAAAGTGGCTTTCCCTGTAACCAATACTCAGGTGAAGGAAGAGAACTTTGCCAGCATCTCTCCCAAACTTCCCATGTGCCCCTTCCTGCTCAGAGAACCTTCCTCCCCTCCCCTACTCTGCCCTCACCTCAAAACTTTATAGGCATACCATGGAAATCTGCAATTTTCTTCCCCCCACACTCCACAAAGATCACCAATCTAGGAGGGGGGATTGAAGGAATTCCCCTGTCCCTAGTTGTCTCTTTTCCTTTTCCCACCACTCACGCAGCCAACTGAGCAGTGGGAGAATGAAGATGTGCCTCCTGCCTCTTACCCGGGCATATCTGCGCAGAAAATGATAGGCGATGGGAATGTTGACATCAAATTTGAGGGTTTGCAGGATGCTGATTTCCATGGCGAGCATCTCATCACGCTTATAAATATCTTCGCAGATGTACAGGAAGTCATCCACATACTGTGGGGAGGACTCCTAGGGGTGGAGAGGAGAGACAGTCACAACGGGGCAAAGGCAGCCCACTCTCCTCTCTGCTTGGCAATGAAAGGCAGAGGAGGAGAGTGGGGAAGGACAGGAGGTAATAACATTTCCTGGCATAAACCTTCAGGATAGTTCTGAGAGTCAGCTTCTGGTTGATCTGAGGGGTCCATCTGAAAAACAAAATCAAAGAGACAGAAGGAGAGAGGATAGGGCCTCCTGGGGTAGATTCTTACGGCACTGAAAGCGGCATAATGTGACACGGGGACTGGGAGCAGTCATCCCTCTTCTGATGAGTGGGAGTCAGGGGTGGGAAATCTAAGGCCTGCTCTGGGGAAAGGGAGGAAAGGAGACCACAGAAAAGGGAGCTAGAGATGGAAAATAAGACTACACTTGGTTTCCTAGTGTAAGGAATGAATAAGGATGTTTGGGAGGCGGCCCTGCCGGGCTTCCAGGCAGTGAGAGAGAGGGAGACAGGCACAGAGGGATCCTAAACAGAGACTGAGGACTGTGGGGGGTGGGGAGGACTTTCAGGGGGTTAGACTGGGAAGACTCAGGCCAGACCAAGGGTGAGAACTCCTGTCCGGGAGCACCTTCCCATGTCCTGCCTTCTGCAGGCTGAACCTTGGTTTGGGGTAAGAGGACCAGAAGCATGAAGACCCCTGCATCTTGTCTTGAGCTGCATCTCACTGCCCACACCAGCCTTCTTCTCACACCTTTCTCTATTTTCACATCACAAATGGGACCAACCCTCTGGCTTTGCAGTCAAGGAAATTGAGGTCCAGAGAGAGGAAGCAACTTACTTAAGTTCACACAGCCACCTAGTGATAACACCAGGGCCAGAAACTCTCCTTTCCATTGCCCTATTTGCTAAGCGGCTCCTTCCTTTCTTCTCTTCTCATACCATCTCCATACCTACCCTGGCAAGAGGCTTTCTGTACTCCTCAATCTTGTGAGGGGAAGACACCCTTCTCCAAAAAAAATGCAGTGTGTGTGTGTGAGGGGTGGTCCTTTATCCAAATAATTAGATGAGGGGTGCTGCCGGTTTCAAAATTTGCTAACAAGTACCCCTCACACTCTCTTCCTCCCTCCTGCTCTCTGTTGGCCAAGGACCCCAAGCTGCTTTCTTAACCCCCTTGAGGCTGAGGCAGGGGGTACTTGCTCAAGCCACAAGGATATCCCTACATAGGGGGATGGAGGAGGAGGGAGAGGAGGGAGAGAGGGGAAGGAGAGAGGGAGGGGAGCAAGGTAATGAACCAGGAGGCCAGTGAGCAGGGAAGGAAATGAGCCAGAGAGGGAAGCAGGGAGCAAGGGAGAGAGTGAGGGAGGAGGAAGGGAAAGAGGAAGAAAGGGAACAAGAAGGCTAGGGAGCAAATGTGGAAAGGGAAGGAGGGAAAGAAGGAGCCAGGGAGGGAAAGAGGATGGAAGGGAGCGAGTGAGAGTGGGTGGGAGAAAGAGATCAAGGAAGTGAGTAAGAGGGAGAGGGAGCTGAGCAGAGAAGGAATAGGGAGTGAGAGAGAGCAAGGGAACCATGGAGCAAGTGAGTAGGGAAGGAAGAGAGCCAGAGCAGGGAAACGGGGAGAAGCAGAGGGAGGAAGAAGAGAGAGAAGGGGCAGAAAAGGAAGAAGGAGACAGGGAAGGAGGGTGGGAGGGAGTAATGGTGGGGGATTGTCATGGTGCCAGGGTACCATGGAACAAGAGTAGGAGATAGGGAGGGAAGGAGCAAGCAAGAGGGGAGAGAAAGAATAAGCAGAAAAGGAAGGGGGGAGGGGAGATGGAGGAGGGCAAAGGGGAGAGCGAAATAGAAGGGAGGAGAGCAGAAATCAGAGGAGCAACACAGAGGAGAGGGAGGGAGGAGAGAGGGAAATAGGATGGGACAAAGGGAAGAGCATTACCATGGGAAGGAGAGAAGAAAGTAAACAAGGGAAAGGGAGAAAGGGAGGGAGGGTGGAAGGAAGAAGAATGGGGTGGGAGGGTGGGAAGATGGCAGGGAGGGAGGAAGGCACAGACAGTGAGGGATGGAACCACGGTGGAGGGAGCAGGGCATGGAAGGAGGGAGCAAGTGAGAAGGGGAGGGAGGGAGTGAGAGAAGGGTCCAGAAAGGGGGAAGCGGGAGAAGAGCAATAGAGAGTGGGTGGGTGCAATGGACGGAGGGAACCCAGTATGGAGTGAGTGAGTGTACAAAGTAGGGATTGAGGGATGGAGGGAGGGATTGAAAGAAGGCTGGAGGGAGGAAGGGAGCTAGGGAGCAAGAGCAGAAGTGGAGTGAGGGCAGAAGTGGAGTGAAGGCAGAAGTGGAGTGAAGGCAGAAGTGGAGTGAGGGCGGAAGTGAAGACATAAGTGGAGAGAGGGCGCAAGTGAGAAGGCACAAGTGGCAAGAGAGGGAGGCAGGTAAGGAGCAAAGAAGGGGGATTGGAATTAGAGAGGGAGGTTCTGACCTAGGTAGGAGCTAGAGTGAAGGAGAGATGGAAGGAGGGAAGCAGAAAGTCATTTGGAGATAGAGCTGACAAGAGAGCACAAAAACAAACCCACAGTTCTGGTACTCAGTAAAAGTTGCTATTTCTCTGCTCCTAAACCTCAAGGCTTTATACAACTTGCCTATGTGAAGGAAAAATGAGAGTTGAACAAGCTCATTTAGTATCTAAGGAAGAGGAAAGAATCAGGTAAGTTAGACGGATTATACTTATGAAGGAAAGGTCAGCTACTTGCTTTTCTACTGCTACTTCAAAAATAAATAATTTACATGGACTCACTACATTCTACACCAGGCCATTTTCTTTTAAATGTCTCAAGCACCTAGATTTGGAAATGCTTTCTTATGTATACAGCTCAAGACTCCACTAGACAGAGATGGAGTTGGCAGAAGTAGAAAGGGGGGTGAGGGGAGAGAATTGTGGTCCAGAAGGAAATTTTAAAAAGAACAACCCACTTAACTGGGCACATGCCTACAACATACACACATCTTCAAAGAGGAAATGGGAGAACTTTGTTAATGCCAGGAAACAAATATACCACCATTTGCACCCAACACCAGCTTCCCCGCTAAGGAAGACAGACAAAAAATTGGTAGGAAAACTTATTTGTGTGCACAATGTACACACATGTATGTATATGTATACACACATATATAATATGTACACATGCATACATATATTCATATGCATGCATATATACACCCACATATACGTACATATGTAAATAGATGTACATACATATATATCTGGCTTCGATAGAAACCAATTGATTAGTTTTCTCCAGATACTATGGAGTCAGGCTCACCTCAAATTTTGCTGCAATCAGAAAAGCAGTGACACCAAGGAGTTGTAGCTCGTCCTTCTTGCATATTACCTCCATAAGGTAGTGATCCACAAACTTCACTGCCAAGTACAGGGTCTCGTGGCTCATCTCAAATGTAATCTGGAGGAATACACAAACAGGACAGGAATCTGCATATCGTTCAACTCCAAAGCCACAGCCAGATAGGTCTAACTGTCTGGTCTGTGGCATTGGAGACAGTGGAGCTGCTAAGACCTGGCCAGCCAGCTGAAACTCAGCTATGAATGCCAGAACTGCTTCAGCTAGGTGCCTGGCTATATCTCTTGTGTCTTTGAGGACCCTGGCATTATCTATCCCTACACTTCTGGGTAAGTGACCAATCTTACATCAGGAGAGATGCTCTGCCTTCTCTGTGAGCATCTGGAGTGAACACACCCTCTCTCCTTGATCTCTAAAACTTAGATTCTTGCTTTCCCCATTTGCTACCTGTAGCGTAAACCCTGCCAGCTGGCTTTTCTTTCTGTAATGCAAGTGCATGACTTAAGGTTTGATTGCCAAGATATCCACTTCAAAGAGGCATCCACTTCAAGGATGGCTATCTCCAATGAATGCACTGCCAGCCACAAGACTAGATAAAGAGCCAGGCCACCTCCCTCACTGACACTGCTTTGTTTTAGGGATCTTGGTTGGTTTTGATAACTGACCATTTGGGCTGATTTTTTTCTCTTCCCGGGCTTTAAATTCCTGCTTTTATGCTTTAAATTAACCCGTAAAGAGTGAGCCACAGAGACCCTAGGCTCCCACCCTCGGCCCAGTAAAAGCAGAATAACCCCCTGGCCCCCATGCTCACTTGCATGTACACACTCTCTCTGTCCCCCTCTCCCCAACCTCACTGTGTGGCCCCAGGTGTGCTGTATAATTTCCAGCTCCCATAAGTAATAAACCTTTATTTTTTTTCAAAGTTTCCTGATGGTTATTGCTGACGGGCATCTCACTATCATAATAAGAACCACAAGGGCTAGTTCAGCCACAACACTGGCTATTGATAGGCTGAGACCAGCACAAAACACGACTACCTTATACAGTAAACTCCCCAAAGAGATTTTTATTTATCTCTAAAATGCAGAGACCTGTTTACTAGCTTACTCATTCATTAGTTTCTCTTCCCAACTAGATATGCTATTAGAATATCTGGATTGAGAGCAAGTACCAATAGCACCATTTGGAAGTTAGCTGAGGTGCTGGAGGCCAGAATGAGATCAAAGCATTAGTAGTATAACCCCTTCCCTTCTTTCTCTTATTTATTCTTGTTCTTGCCTTCTCAAACTCCAAGAAACCATCTCCTATAGCCTTAGTACCAAAGTTAGTGCTGGCCCATACAGCATCTTTGTGCAAATGCAAAATAAGGTGTCTCTTTGGTGAATGCAGCCCTGCAGGCACACATTTATCAAGTAGGCAATACTTTTATATAAATTAGCAAAAGGTGCCCGTGCCTCAGGGCACAGCAACCCCACAGCCAGAAGCCACAGCTTAGCAAACAGTATGATCTGGATTACATTGCCTGCTTTTGCTTTGGCTAGAAGCTGTGTGTAGGCACAGTTTGCACTGTACACAGGGGTCCTACCCAATCCTCAGTGGTGATTCCTCCTCACCCTTACGTTCTTAGGATTCAAAAACAATAAAATCTATACTAGTCCAACACCTTAATCAATGGATGAATCCTCTCTTTAATGTCTCCACCAAATAGTTGTTCAGTTCCTGCCAAAGAACCTCCAAGTACAGCCAGATTTCTCTTTGAATGTTTTTAACAGAAGATTCTTCCTTCTGCTGAGTAGAAATCATCCTCACTATAAACTTCACTTACCTGATTGGACCTCCTTTTGCATTGGCTACTCTTATTGACTGGAGCCTAGATGACCAAAAAGTAGGTCCATAAGAAGCACTGGAGAAATAGATGTATATTTGCATAGGCAAATTATCAGAAGATGCTTGAAGACATTGGTTTAGCAACAGATATACTACATTTATCAATAACAGAAATACCAAGAAGCCATTCTTACTGTTCTTGGGATATGGCCTTGGATCATCTCATAAATCTGTCTTCTTTAGTTTCCTATTGCTTCTGTAATAAATTACTACACATTTAGTGGCTTAAAACAGCACAATTTCATTACCTTACAGATCTGGAGGTCATAAGTCCAAGGACTCACTGGGCTAAAAAAATCAAAGTGTTAGCAAGGCTATGTTTCTTTCTGAAGGTCCTAGAAAAGAATCCTTTTTTAGCTTCCAGAAGCTTCCCACATTCTTTGGTCTGTGGTCCCTTCCATCTTCAAAGTCAGCAATGGCTAGCCAAATCTTCCTCACATTGCATCACTCTACACCTCCCTCTTCCACATTTAAGGACCCTTGTGATTATAATCAGGCCCACTTGGATAATCTGGGATAATCACCCTATCTTAAATTCAGCTGATGATAATCTTAATTCCAGAGTCTAATTTCCCTGTGGCATATAAGGTAATACATTCACAGGTTCTGGGGATTAGGTTGCGGACATTTTATTCTGCCTACTGTATTTTCCAAAGGGATGTCATAAGAAAGGTATGAGAAGAGTTCATGCAGATGAAGAGAAATGACTATCACCTTTAAGTATGAAGAAATTGAGGTTGGGGTGGAGGGCAGGCAATAGGTCAGTGGTAGAGTGCATGCTTAGCATGCACAAGGTCCTGGGTTCAATCCTCAGTACCTCCATCAAAAAAAAATCAACATAATCCACCATATCAATAGTCTAAAGCCACAAAAATCAAACCAATAGATGCAAGGGAAAAAGCATTTGAGAAAATTAACATTATCATGATAAATATGTATCATCAAACTAGGAATTATCAAAGGTATCTACAAAAACTCTACAGTTAAGATCATACTAATGGTAAAAGCTAACTGCTTTCTTCCTAAGATCAGGAACAAAGCAAGGCTGTCCACTCTTACTGTTCCTATCAACATCATAATGAAGTACTGCACAGTGCAATAAAACACAAAAATGAAGTTAAAAGCACACAGTTTGGAAAGGAATTAAACTGTCCCCATTTGCAAATGACATAGTGTCTGTGTAAATAATTTCAAGAAATCTACCAAAAAAGAACACCTAAGAATTAATAGGTGAGCTTTAGCAAGGTCATAGAGTACAAGGTCAACATACCAATATCAGTATTTCATACTGCCAGTATATAAATGGAAACCTGAAATTTTAAAAATACCATTTACAATAGTTCCAAAAAAAGAAAATATTTTGGTATAAATCTAATATGTACAGGATCTGTATGGTTAAAAAAAGAAATCAAAGAAAATCTAAATAAATGAGAGGCATACCACATTCATGAGTTGGAAGATTCAACGAAGACAAGAAGTCAGTTCTACTCAAATTCACCTATAGATGCGTGTCAGGGGTACCCAGGACCACTGCCAGTGATTTCTAGGATGACTCACAAGACTCAGTATATAGTTATATTCATGGCAATTATTTATTATAGCAAAAGATACAAAGCAAAATCAGCAAAGGGAAAAGGAGCATGGGCAAAGTTTGGTGAAAACTGGAAGTAAGCTTCCAAGAGTCCTGTTCCAGTAGGGTCTCTCAGGATGTACTTAATTCCTCCAGCAACGAGATATAACAAGACATGTAAAGTATTGTCTACCAGGGAAGCTCATTAATGACTTGGTGCCTGAGACTGAATTGGGATCTGGCCACATAAACACTCTGCCTCACATGTACCAAAACTCCAGACTCCCAGAAGGAAAGCAAGTGTTCAGAATAAACCACATTGTTTGTACAAAGAGTTTAGGCACAGTTATCATTAAAGGAGAGTTTTACAGCAGTGTAGGAAACTGTTTACCAGTCAAGTTCCCAGATGCCAGCCAAAGGCCAACCTTGCAAACAGGCCTTTCTAGGGATAGCAGTACCATGCCTGTTACGTTAACTCTTTTCTGCACAAGATAGAATTCGATTTCAATCAAACTCTTAGCAGGATTTTGTTTTATAGACATGGACAAACTGATTCTAAAATTTATCTAAAGAGGCAAAGACACTAGAATAGCTAAAAGAATTTTGAAAAAAAATACAGAGTTAGAAGAATCATGTTACCTAGTTTTAAGACTTATTATAAAACTACAGAAATAAAGAATGATGTTGGCAAAAGGATAGACACAGGGATTGATGGAACAGAATATTGAAGTATAGAAATAGACCCACACAAATAAGACCAATTGATTTTTGGCAAAGGTACAAAAGCAGTTTAGTGGAGAAAGTAAATTTTTCCACAAATGGTGTTAGAACAATTAGACAATCATATGCAAAACAATGAACTTTGACTTCAAGACCTTCATACCTTATACAAATTTAACTCAAAATGGATTATAGATTTAATGTTAAAGCTATAAAACTTTTAGATAAAATGTTGAAGAAAATATTCATGACCTAAGTTTAAGCAGAGTTCTTAGACATGACACAGAAAGCATAATCCATAAAGAAAACATTGAAAAATTGGACTTTATCAAAATGAATATCCAGAATATGTAAAGAACTCTCATAACTTGACACAAAGAAGCCAACCTACTCATTTTGAAACTGGGCAAAACCTTAGAAACTTCACCAAAGAGCATATATTGATGACGAAGAAGTATGATGTTCAACACTATTTTAGCCCTTGAAGAAATGCAAATTAAAACTATGGTGAGATTCCTCTATACATCTATATGGCTAAATTCAAAAAAAAAAAACCCAACAATACCAAGTGCTGACAAGGATGTAGAGCAACTAGAATTCTCATAGGTGTCAGGGGAGAACACAAGATGATATAGTCACTCTGTAGCAGTTTCTCATCAAGTTAAACATACATTTAGTATATGACCCAGCAACCCCACTCCTGGGTATTGACATTGGAAATGGAAACTTATATTCACATAAAACCCTGTTCATTAATGTTTATACCAGTTATTTGTACAGTTTTAGAAACTGGAAACAAACCAAATGTCCTTCAGTGGGTGAATGGCTAAATAAACTATGGTAAACATACCATGGAATACTACTCAGCAATAAAAAGGAATGAACTATTGATACACACAGCTTGGATAGATCTCGAGGGAATTATGGTGAGTGATAAAAGTCAATCACAAAAGGTTACCTACTGCATGATTCCATTTATATAACAATCCTGAAATTATAAAATTTTAGAGGTGGAGGAACAACTTAGAAGTTTCCAGGGACAAGAAGGTGAGGGGAGGGAGACAGCTGTGGCTATAAAAGGCTAAAATGAGGAATCCTTCAGGTGATGGAACAGTTCTGAGTCTTAAATGTGGTGGTGGTGCTTATGAAATTTACAAGTGTGATAAAATTACATAGACTAAACATACACACAAATAAGTGCACGTAAACTGGAAAATTTTAAATAAGGTCTCCAGACCTTGATTTTGACACTACATTAGTTATGCAAAATGTTACCACTGGGAGAAACTAGTTGAAGGGTACACAGGACCTATCTCTCTATACTATTTTTTACAACTTCTTGTGAATCTATTATTTCAAAACATTGTTAAAATTTCATAGACCTGTATGCCAAAAGTCAATTTTACTAATTATTTTAAAATATAAAAATCAAAGTTATAAAAACACTATAAATAATATCACCATTTCCAGAACTGTGATTCTCCATTGAAAGGTATACACTAGCATCACTTGAAGAGCTTTAAAAAATGTGTGTCCTGGGACACACCCCCACAATTCTAATTTGGTACATCTGGGATGGGATGTGGGCATCTCTGATTCTGTGATCTGTGCACTAAAGATGCACCCCTAGTAAATAACCACCACTTTAAAAGTGGGGGGATAATATACACACATGAATGCTAACACTGTCTGTAAGTTGTGGGATCACAAGTAATTATAATTTCTTATTTGGCTATAATAAATGTGAATTTTTGTGCAATAAAAATAACAAAAAATAACTTTAAAAAAAAGATTCGGGGCATCATTCTAGCTGGTAGAGATATTTTATCTATTATCCATGTATTTCCTAACCCTACTCCCAGTCTCATGTCATCTGTGAATTTGGTAAGTCTCTGTTCTCATCTACATCACTAATAAAAATGTTGATGAAAACAAAGTCCATGGCAGTCTACTAGAACTCTCTTTTTTACTTGATGACAAGCAGTAATCTTTGTGGTCAATTTTACTTATTTAAGATCTACTCAAATTCTACTCTTATCCAATTTACTATTCTTCATCATTTCCATAAAATGAGAGACATTTTCATGCTTTGCTGATGTTCAAGTATACCATGACTACCACATTTCTCTAGTCTGTCACTCCAAAGTGAGCCTGAACCACTCCTCTGGTACTTACAGAATATTAAACTATATTACGTCTTCTTCCCAATTACATAGTTAAGACTCCACTGGGCACAGGCTATGCCTTATAATTCCTTGCAAATTCCATTCCATTCACTCAACAAATATTTATTGACACCTACTACATCCAAGTACAATTGTGGGCTAACCTTCCTTAGTGTAAAGTGATAATTAAGTATTGACAGCAGTATACGCTCAACATCCAACCCTGGAAAAATATCCAACTGCCATGTTTGGTGCAACACTGTCCTTATTATCCATCCCATCCCAAGCTTGAAGGACTTTGTCACTGAGCCTTATCCAAACCATTAGATATACTTTTACGGGATTTTGAGGATGACTAAACTACCATATCATTGTCTTTTCTAGAAATAGCTCTCCTTCCACTAGGTTCTCACAGTGTCTTATTAATAACATTCTTAGAGTACTTAGTATATTCTACTTTGTATTGTACTTATCAGTCTACATGTCTTATCTTGCCCCAAGGTCATAAGCTCCCTGAGGACAGGAATCATGGCTTATTCCGCTCTGTAGACCCAGTAAATTTTTACTGTTTGGTACCTGGCAATGCTGAATGAATAATTGATCAAGAGAAGAGCAGTTCTTTAAGGCAGCAGTTGTCAGGCTTACCTGCACCTCCACCAACCAGTCCACAAGAATGGCCCTCATGTCACTGTCGATGTCAGTCTGCCTGTTCATGTATTTTTTAAGTATGAACTTTTCCTGGCAGCAAGAAGAAAGAGATGGTAACAAACGAAACTCTTCTTGTAGTTCAAAAATTGCAACTTTGGAAAAAATATTCGCAACTAGTATCTCAGAAGAAAATTATAACAAGTGACTTCTTCCTGATTCTAATTCATTACTTTCAACTGGCCTCAGATAGGGGCTGATCAAAGTATCCTTTTCCAACCAAGTTCTAGCTATCCGTGGACACACAAAATAGTCAAGGGTCAGGGTGGATATTGAGGAGTCCCAGGGAATATGGAATATTGGCAGGAACACACTTATGACTATAGATAAATACCAAAGAGGTTCTGCTCCCTTTTTTGCAATTCAGTTTAAAGTCCAATACCATGCTGTGTAGAAGAGCCCTTCTCAAACTTTAACATGCATAAGTTAAAGATACTTGGGGATCTTTAAAATTCACATTGTAATTCAGAAGGTCTAGGGTGAGGCTGGGTTTTTGCGTTTCTAACAAGATCCCAAGTGAAATCAATACTGCCAAGCTAAGGCTGGCATTTTTAGTATAGCAAACTTATCTCTTGCTTCCTCCAAGGTATACCAAAAAAAAGTGCAGGCTCTGGAGTCAGTTAATCTATCACTGTCTCTAGAGAGAAGATGAGATATTCATCCTTCCTCTTATACATGGCCTGCTAAAATTCTAAATTCTAGTTAGTAGATAATTTTGGTCCCATCTGCTCCACTGAGAGACAGAAGAAAATTTGAAATTGATGAATATTAGTGGTAAAGGAGACTGGCAGATTTCAAAGGAGAAAGAAAATTTCACCAGATTGGAGAGCTGGAACAAAGGGCTTCGTTTTATATATGATGCCAGAAATTTGCGTAGAGAAGGGAAAAGATCTCTCAGAGCAAAGTCTCAGAAGGAGACTACTTGATCATTTCTGTGTCTGAGATTACCTCCTCAGCAATTAGAGGTGCAGGCTTATGGTCTTCAAGGTAATCAGACTTTAGTTCATATCCCAGATCAACCACATACTAGTTGTGTGACTGAGGAGTTTCTCTCAACTCTAAAAGGGAGATAATGACACCTACCATTATGAAGTTATTGGGAGAACTAAATAAAATAATATACATACATCCCTTAGCACAATGTTTAACTCACAGTAAGATACCAGTAGATGTCAGTTTCTGCTATTATTATTTTCATCATCATTATTACCTTAAATGTGATGAGGAAATGAGAACTAGAAATCATTACCCCTCGGCCCCACCACCTACACACCTCTCTCTCCTTCATGTAACTGAAGATATCCTTGGCATACACTGAGTTGAAATGTGGATCATTGTGGTCCTTGTCAGTATCCTCCAGGGGGGTCATCTGCTTGGAAATCACCAAAATGACACATTAGGAGATTAGGAGAAAGATTTCCAGGAAAGCTTAACAGATACACACACACACACACACACACACACACAGATGCCTCCTTTCTTCCCACTGTCATCTTCTGCTAAGGTTCCTCAAGCCTCATATGTCCTTGGCCATAACAGAGCATCCCTTGGCCCTATAATCCTCATACTGTTGAGTAACAAGAAATGCTTAGTCTGCCTTGTACACGCCTGCTCTTCCCAGAGAACCAGGCACTATTTTTACAGCTGAGGTCAAGATTCTCCAAGAAAGACATTCTTATTTCACTCTTTCAGCTTATGTCACCTGTCTTCTTAGGTCCCTTGTTATGTCTCAATGCTTTGATCTGGCCCAATTCATCTTCTCAGTATTTTCCTCCCTTCTCCACCTTTAACCAGGTTGTTTTGCCTACAAGAGAAGTCTTTCTCCTCCTGCTTGCCAAATCTCATCCCTTAATCCTTCCAATTCACAATTTAAAAACCATCTTCCTTGGAAAATGCCTCTGTGAACTTAACTCATCTTTGGCTAAGGGCCAATGTAACACAGATTGCAACTACTAAGAAAGGCAACTTCCTTAAAGAAATTGTCTAACCACTACTGCAAAGTATGCGCACGTGCACGCACACACACACACACACACACACACACACACACACACACACACACACACAGTATTCCAGACCCTTGAGGGTATTCCTGGAACAGATATTTTCTAATTGATCAGGTATATCACTATACCAATCAGGAAGCCAACTTGATTTACTATAGCTTACTATATACAACTCAATTGCTTAAGGCAAAAAAACAAAAACAAAAACAAAAACAAAAAACAAAGAATCTCTGCTAGCAGCCACCCCAGGACAAAAAAGAACACTCCATCTAGTTTAAGAAGAAAGAAAGCAGAATACCTCCTTCTGTGATTTCTTGTCCTGAGGTGAGAAAGGCTTACTGGAACTGAATTCACAAGCACTGGACTTGCTCATGGTACTAAACTTGCCCACATTGGACATGGTGACAGTGCTGGACATGCCTGTTCTAGCTTCAGGGGCAGTGGTAGATACATGTGGGCTGGTTTCAACTTGGAGGATCGAGAAATCTTTGAGAGACGTGTCTTCCTTGTGAGTGAGATTCTCTTGCAAGGCCAATGGCTCCTTGATGAGGGTCTCCTTACTCCTGGGATTTTCCTGCAAGTCCAAGGACTCCCTCAGGATGGTCTCCTTTTCAATGCTGGGCTTCTCCTGCAAGGCCTGTGGCTGCTTAATAAGGGACTCCTCTTCACTGGTGATGTCCTCTTGCAAGGCCAACTGCTCCTTCAAGAGGAGGACCTCTCCCTGGGCAGTGGGCTTCTTCTTTAAAGATAATTGCCTCTCTGTGCTCGTTGAGACTTCAGTGGAGAGCTCTTCCTTCAGAAACAATGGTTTCTTGAAAAGGGATTCCTCTTCCATGGCGCTTTCCTCCGGCAAAGTCAACAGCTTCTTCAAGGAGCCCTCTTTGGTATCAGTCTTCTTCTCCAAGGTCAAAGCCTTACAGAGGAGGGCTTCACCATTGTTGGTAGGTTTAACATGCGGTGAAAATGGTTCCTGAAAGGGGAATTCCTCCTCAGTGGTAGGCTTCTCCTCCAAGGTCAGTGGCTCCTTAATATGAGATTCTTCTTCGGTAGTGATCTTCTCCTGTAAGGTCAATGGCTTCTTTGAGTGGGACACATCCTGCAGAGTAGTAGGCTTCTCTTTCAGTACAGATGGATCCTGGAAGAGGAACTCCTCTTCAGTTGTAGACTTTTTTTTAAGAACAACAGCTTCTTAGACAGTGACTCCTTTTCAGGGGTGGTCTTCTCTGTGATCAGTGGCTTCTTTAAAAGGAACATCTTCCCCTGAGCAATTTGCTTATTTTTTAAAGATAATGGTGTCTTGGTAAGAACTGCCTCATCAGTTGAAGACTTCTTCCGAAATGACACTGACTCCATAGAGAAGGAACCTTTACCTTCTGCAATTATATTCTGCAAGTCCAACAGTTCTTGGCAGATGGGTGCCATTATTGGAATGATACACATTTTTTTCTTTAAAGATAATGGCTCATTGGCACAGTCTGCCACATTTGTGGTATGTTTCTTCCAAAAGGACACTGGCTCCATAAGAAATTCATCTTTACCATCAATATTCTCCTCCAATGCCCATGGCTTCTTCAAGACAGCCACATCCTCCTGAGTGGTGTGCTTTTCTTGCAATGCCAATTGTTCCTTGACGAGGGACTCCTCCTCAGTGGTAGGCTCCTTTTTAAAGGATAATGGTTCCTTAATGAGTGACTTCTCTTCAGAGGTGACTGTCTGTAATACCGGTGGCTTCATGAAGTGGCACACCTTCCCGTGAGTGGTACACTTCTCCTTCAAAGTTAATGGC